CCATCCAACAATCGACCAGCGTCGTTACTGAGCATCCTCTCCAAGGTCGTTGAGACCATACTCAACAATGATAAATGAGCAACTTCATGGAGACGAATCACGTCCTGTCAGAACGGCAATTTGGCTTCCGTCGCGGCCACAGTGCAGCAGACCTGCTGACTGCTCTCCACCACCAGTGGGTGCACACCGCAGGAGACGAAGGAGCTTCTCGAGTACTGGCCATCGACATTGCTGGAGCATTTGACCGGGTGTCCTACACTGGTCTATTGCACAAGGCTAGAGTGTATGGCATCTCAGGAGACCTGCATCGCTGGCTACAAGACTATCTCTGCAACCGCACACTTCAAGTCCTCATCTCCGGCCAGACATCCGCCAGACGCCCAGTTAAGGCTGGAGTGCCACAGGGCAGTATCCTGGGCCCCACCTTATTCTTGGTCTACGTCAACGACCTTGACGACCACTTCCCAATCGGCTCAAACCTTGCCTCATTCACCGACGACACAACCCTATACGCCGAAATTGCAATTCTCACTGCTGTTCCTGATATAACTAGAGTACTCCAGGCTGCTGTTGACCTAGTATCCAGTTGGGGCTCGGATTGGAAAGTTCAGTTCGAGCCAGCCAAATCTCAGGTCCTTACAATTTCCCACCATCGTCGGGACTGGCCCTACCCCCCCATTGTCTTCAATGGAACTCCTGTCGAGGAGCAGTCCTCCATCAAGTACTCGGCGTCATGTTTGACCATCAGCTAAAATTCAGCCAGCATATCCGAACCATTGTAGTCCGAGCAACGCAGAGACTTGGAGCCTTGCGCAAGGCATTACACTTGCGGGCTATTCCTGCCCGACTTCGAGCCTGCAAAGCCTTTGTCCGGCCGGTTATGGAGTACTGCCCAATCGTCTGGATGGGGGCAGCTCCTTCCCACTTGAATCGGCTGGACTGGGTGCAGGAGCGAGACATCAAGGCAATACATCCGCAATGCTGGCTTCCTAGCCTCATAATTCGCCGCACCATCGCTGCCCTCTGCCTCCTGTATAAAGCCCTTTGCGATAATTCTCCCTCTCTTCTCTCGAGAATGCCTCCACCCCCGACACACCAGCCCAGGATCACACGCCTCACTAGCCAGGCTGTACCGCACATCCCTATCAGTTATAGGATGTTCTTTTTGCCAATACCCGGAACAATGTGAGCCGAGCCTTTCCCCACTCCGTCAACCCAATTTGGAACCAGCTTCCTTCCTCTATCATTCTCCACCCATTTCAACCAAAGAACATCCAAAAGTTCAAGACAGCAGCTTATCACCATCTCCTCAGAACGAACTGGTACTGGGCCACTCATAGCATACGCGAGTAAGAGGGTACAGTGTCCTACCCTGCTTGGACATAATCTCTCCTCAAACACAGTGTCCTCTTGAATTTAACCCTTTCCATGCCATGGACGCGTATACGCGTTTTTTTAGTATCATTGATTGGCCACGGACGTGTTTACGCGTTCTGCCTACACTGTACAGTACATGCGTATCGCGCGCTATAGACGAGTGTACAAACTATCATAACTCCGTCCAAATATCTCGGACTGCTAAGGTTGAGACACCGCTGGAAAGGTCTTGGGCTCAGCTTTCCAGGGATATAAAGTTCTTTGCGATACGACAAGGTATGACCGAGCGGCGATAAATTGAACAGCCAGAATGCGCTATTTCATTTTTGGCGATCGATTCAAATTTTTTGTTCGCGACTTCGTGCAGGCTAGGGGATTTCCTCTAGACACAGCGCGTGCGCAGTCAGTTGCAACAAACGCGCTTGAATCTCAGCTGTCCAACGCAGTTTGAATCGTGAAAATCAGTTCACAATGAGCAAGAAGACGAAAGAAGACATGAGAGGCAGTCGTTTTGTTATTTTCAGGCACGGTAGGGGGACTTTGAGAGGAGATGGAAGTGGCCCTGGTATGCCTGTCGCGCTGTGAGTCCCTGGATTGGCTTCCTGTTGTCCAGATCTTTCCAACAAGCCATGGATCGTGAAAATCCATCAAGGTATAGTGAAATACCAATAAGTTTCGTTCTGAGGTGCGCGTGCAGCTTTGAACAGTTGAGCTCAGCGCCTGAACAATGTGTGGCCACACAGGAAAACACGCTGGCATGATAACACGCCACAACAACATTCAGCTCAAGACCAAAGTGGACGCTGTGATGAGGTAATGCCCTCATCGCCGTCTTTGCCGTTGCCTCCCCCAGAACCGCCACCTACATCTATCATCAGCAGTGCTGGGGCTGAGTCTGTGGTGTCGGTGGCACGTGCATATATGGATGAGGCAAGCACTGAACGTGAACAACGAGAAAGAAGGCTGAAGGGAACGGAATTCAACAAAGAAAGTAACACAATCAACATTCAAAGATTATTCAATGAATTATTACAGTACTGGAGGTCAAGCACCGGCGAGGACACTGGGAACACAAGATTTAACAACAACAACAACAACAACAACAACAACAACAACAACAACAACAACAACAACAACAACAACAACAACAACAACAACAACAACAACAACAACAACAACAACAACAACAACAACAACAATGGTGACAATTTACCATCAAGATCAAAGGAGGAGTCAACGAACAGAGGTTAAACAACATGACGCGAGCCTGGGACCGATCGGTGTTGATGAGGAGAATGACATGGAGGACGACACTGAGGACGAGTTGGGAGATGAGACGGAGGACGAGGTGGCGGTTGTTGGAGACGAGGATTCAGATGGTGATTGTGATCGAAAGAAGTCTGCCGTTTTTCTTCACTTGTTGTCTCACGCTAAGTGTCTGCAGATGTATGATGATTTTAGTTTTTCTGTTCTTTGTCGTGCACGGTATGCTAGTCAGTTGAAAGTACTTGAGGCTGTTTGTATTCGTTTGCACAAGCCTGATCTTTGTAAGCAGAAGGAACATGTAGTTGCGTTAAAATTGTTTTCGTAGGTGCACAGCGTGATTGTTTGTCTCACTGCACAGTTTTAGCGTTATAATTAGCTTCTCACCCGCCGTTGCACTTAGCTCTCACTTCACTTCTATTGTCTCACCTTCCCTCATTCTATTTTGGCACTGTATTTTGTTCTCGTAACACATTGAATGTATATTTAATCATTGTTCAGCATGGTTACTCTTCAGTCACGACTTTCCACTGATGAATGTGACAAGAAAATTAATTCTGGTAAACTTTCATTTTTCACTCACAAAGCGACTGTTCAGTACATGGGGTAGTGGTCTACCAGAGCAATCACACTCACCACCGTGGTGGTTTTCCAGAAATGAGTAGAAGCAAAACACCACACTCGCAGCCACATAATAGATAAATAGCCGAAAAACATCTAAATCCATCAAAGAACCGCCAGCAAGCGGGAGAAAAGGCCGTGAAATCAAGTGAAACAGCATGGCCAGTGGTGAGCATGGGGTGACTGGGCAGCAGGGGAGCGCCTGAAAAACAATGACTCCCTACATTCCTAGCCGCAACCGCTCAACCGGGCTAGAGGGAAAACACGCCTTTCGGCCAAAAAACCTTTCTACTTCATTAATTCCTGCCCCGCTGCCAGTCAGACCCAAGAATAGAGATAGCAAGAAATGGTATGTAATAACCGGTGTATGTCATAATCATAAGCCACACACATAGGCATAGATTGTCAAGAAGAACAGCGGACGACTCCCATGAAACCAGGGTGGGTGGGCGGGCAACTTCAACTACCACGAGGAAAAACAAAGACCACGATGGCAGGTTCAATGGAGTTGCGCAGAACAAGAGCAAATGCACGAAAATATTTGTGAGTGAAAAATACGTTTTTTGCACTCTTTCGCTACGCTCAGCCGTGAAAAAACAAAACGACTTCGTTGTAGTATGGCGATGACTGCAGAATTTGTTCTCTTTATTGCTATTATAAAATTGTTGTCTCCACGTCGATTATTTACTACTGTGATCTGTATCTTTCTGTTGTGTGTGGTTGTGTCTGCGGTGTACGCAGAGGCCAGCTAGCTGGCAAAAAGTATAACAGGGGTGTTTTATCACACGCCGTCAAGCTATCGTGCACAGTCCCTCCCCTCCCACTACTGAAGGTTCGAGGGCGATAAGAAGCGTGTTGACCGTGAACGGCTCAGTGAAGTTGAGCACAGCTTTTTCATACCAGGTACATGTTATTCTCCTGTGTTGGCATGGGCCCAGAACCAACCATGATAAATGAAGAGGCTGGCATTTTCTCTTCTCAGGTCTGCCATCCGTCCGCGGATCACGCTCTGTTCCCGGTCGTCACTTTGACCTCGCACCTGTCGACCTCGTACAGGCTGAGGCGCGTCTGACTCGTCATTTAACTGTATCCACAGCCATATTGCCAATTAATTTTAAGTAATGGAACGTGTATGAGCATAGCGCAACCCCAATGTTGCAAGAAAAGAGTGAACTCCAGAGAAGTATTTAGTATCCAGTAAAAAATATACAAGTACCCAGAGAAGTTTTTATACAGAGAAGTATTAATACGAAACCCAAGTATTTCTACAATCAGTCTTCAATTATTATCTTGTCCGCCGGTCTAAATAACGATCGTGACACGAAAAAAATGGTGTCGAAACCCTGGATGAGCAAAGGTAAGACCAAGAAAGGTGCTGTAACATCATCGAAGGCAGATGGAGAGAATGTGTCTTCCCTGGAGAGTTGCAAGGAAGTTAGATGAGGTACTGTGTTATGCGACGTCAACACCAGTACCATCGTTGTTCGTCTCTACACGCAAGTCGAGGCAAGCTCGCATTTAAGCGGTCACGCATACAAAATGACTGTATCGAGTGTTAACGATGGTATGTTTTCTAGAGGTTGTTGACATAATTATTGAGATTCAATATTTAAATTGGATGTGCCTTCGGGAAAGTAATAAATTGTTCCACACAGGAGCAGATGAAGATGGTGTGAGATCAAAATTCCATACAACATTGTTCCCAGTGTGTTTAACATGGGTCAAACTATCCTGCTTACCGGTGGAGACGTTACCATTCTTCCCGGACACATTCTTGAACTCACACTTGTAGCGTCCTGGCTGGTTCACACAATATTTGCTGCTGGAATTGCAGATATGAACGGTGTCACATTCATTGATGTCCTCGCATAAACCTACGGGTCAGAATAGAAAGGCGCCCTCAGTCCTTATCATGATGCGTCAGTCAGTATAGTATTTCATAAGGTGCGCAAGCCCACTGCATCCACTGGATTACATGCCCATGAAAACCGTACACAAACCATCCTAAATAAAAGAGATAGCTTCGCTGAATATTACTGATGTCTTAATCGACTCTGGAGGATGATGATGGCTCTTTATCGTAAATTTGATTCATATAATTATTAGATTATACCATGGTACGGTACGGAGGGCCTGTTTTCAGCCAATCAGCGCTCGTCTAGCCATGGTTATATTGGCCAGTATAAATCCCGCGCGGGATTTATATAGAATATAAATCCCGGTGCACGGTACGTACGCTAGGGCACTGCCACCGTACATGTTCACTGCCTGAAAGGCAGTGAACTTGTACGGCGGCAGTACTCCAGCGCACGGACCATACATAAACAGACACAACGGACACCACATGCACGTGTACCCTCCACACAGAACGGCACACTGACGAGGAACAGTACACAATGGAAAAGAAGAATGACCTGGAATTCGTCTACAGAGTATTCTGTTATACTGAATCTGAGGATAAAGAACGTCAATAACCACGAAGTATCCCGAATGGGTCAGCAATGTACATTGTACTTCGAAGAGTTGAAGATCATCAACAGACTGTCTCCCCCAAGTTTATAATACCAGTGTACATGTACTTCAACCTGATTGGAAAAGGCTACAATAGATTGGATTGAAATGTGATACAAAACAGTGCATGCAAATGCATCTACTTGCAAGCAAAACTGATTATAAGATGCCGCATGTGAAAATCAGCACTGTACCATAATTATAGTAACACTTACTCCCAAAGAGTCTGTAATCTAACTAGTGACGGTAGTTTGATTCAACGACAAACTCCAGCACCGCAGCAATTCAGTCGACTTCCACACCGCTCACGACTCAAGACAAGATCATGAAGATGCTACAATATGCACTGGTACTGAAAGGAAATCTTATGCCAAACATCCACGGAGGAATCTCCTTCTGACCTTGCTCGACCATTCTTTCAACTGACAACTGATAACCATCAGAAGATGTTCATGTACTGCATGATGTAGGAGATCTCCAAATATGTTCGTTGTTCTGGAAATGCGTAGGGGTACCTGGCATAAGTAGGATATGACCCTCGTAGTCGGGTTATACCGTACCCTCATATAAATCCCTCCTGCTATCGCAGTCGGGATTTATATTCAGCCGGTATAACCCTCTGACTCGGGTTATATCCTCTACTTATGGTGACAAAGAAGAAGGACCAAATGTTACGAGTTATGACTAACTGTCCACCAACGTAACCAGATCTTCTACAGTCAGTGAGTGCTACAAAATGGCACAAAACTGACTCGCTGACTTTGTAAGATCTGGTTACGTTGGTGGACAGTTAGTCATAACTCGTCACATGTTGTCTTTCTCCTTTCTTAACATAATTTATTAGGCTCACCATCCGAGTTCAACATAATTATTGCATAACAATTATTATTACTCAATGATGCTGACAGCTAGACTGTTTCGGCCAATGAGGCTTTATCAGTGAACCTCCGAGCTTAAAATAGGATTGAACTGCCAGCCATGGCTACGAGAACCACAGACATTAGGACAGCTCGATAATAATTTTTACTATTAAATTTTAGTCATTTGCAGTGAAGAAACCACATGATTTGTGGATGCTGTGCGTACGGTTTTTCATAAAAGTCAATTAAATTATTATTGGGATCAGAAGACTTTTTCCGTTGACATCGCAAAGCAAGCTAGGGTAGTCTTCCATAAGGCCAAATTGAATGGTGAATCATTATTCCCGTAGCTATGCAAAAGACGTTACTTCAGTAACGTCTGGCGCTAGTCAGGGTCCACACAGCTTTAATTCCGTGTTTGTTTGTTTGTGCCATCGGCATGCCTGGCGCTATCCCCTACCTGTCCGGTACGGTACCATCAAAGACAGCCAGCCAGACATCAGTACAGTGTTGTACAGTATAATGATTTCGCATAGCATGTCATACAACAGGTTAAGGCTTGGGAACGATGAACATGACAAGAGTCTTATTGTGAAAGAGAGTCAGGCCAAGTTTCTGAAGATCAGTAGCGAGTGCTTTCCCGTGCATTAAGTTAGTATTACAAAAGCATAGACAGGATGCGTATTATAGGAGACCCAAGTTGCTGAAGATCAGTAGTCATTGCTGATATCGTGCAGAAAAACTAAATCCACAGCCTCTTTTGCCGTTGGACAGGATGCGTATTACAGGAGACTGTAAAATGATGTAATGTGCTCCACAGGCAACCATGAATTAAGCCATCAGCAACAGTTAAGCACAAGCACACTATTAAGGCAAGGAAATGATTGTACCGTATCGTAATGTATGGAATATAATTTTACCCCATTGGCTCAACGGGTCAATGTATTACTACAAAAAGGCCACAAAAATCCGATTATAAGGAGATAAAAAGGAAAAGAGGGAGCAAACCCAAAGTGGATGAAGTGGGAGAAAATAACCATCCCCAATAAATTCTGCAATTACTTTTGCCTAACTCATATTCAAACTGATTGAAACGTTTTTGAACTACTATTCTGTTGCCAATCAATGGAAAAAACATTTACATCAGTTCAAATAACATGCATGATGAGCTAGGAAAAAAGCATTGCGTAGGGCCCTGAGCTCTCTCGTTCTTAGTACACACTTTCGTTGGAGATCTAGAGTTCTAGATTGACTGAACGGAGACAAAATAGACACAGAAATCACGGCCTGGAGCGAGCAAGAGTTCTTTTTTTGTGACTTCGCTGTTTTCTTGCAGCATGTCAGGGGGGTTTCCCATTTGCCCTACGCACGCGTTATGGACATCAAATGAATCGCATGGATCTCAGCTATGAAGAGCAATTTCATTCGTGAAAATTTGTTGAATGTCAGCAAGGAGCCGAAAAAGAATGTGTGCCTGAGTTTTCGTTTCGTTGGGAGAGGTTGTAGAAGTGGCCTTGGTGGGGCTATGGAGCTGAGAGCTCCTACGATAAATTCACTTCGGCCTGGACATTACAACAAGTCCAGTATGATGAAATTCCATTTAGGTGAACTGAAATGAGAATAAATTTCCTACGGAGCAGTGCGCCCAAACTCCGCAAGGAGAGTCCATGCGCTGGAGTGCAAGTTTACCAGTAAGTGTTCCAATGAATCCGTTCCCATGGTTGTTCACACCGCCAATTCGAACTTAGCTGAAAAAGATGAGCGAAATCAGTGATATTGCCCTCCCCAGCTTTTCTCGTTTTGTCGGACATGCTGTCGTACATTCCGGTAAGCTTGACGGCATTTTCATTCTCGCCTACGCCATTCAGTACATCATGCAGAGAAGGGGAGAGGAGAGATTGAGAATTCACCTGTTAGGTATGACGAATGTGTACAGCTGCTTACCTGTACTGTAATTCTTTGCATATCCAGAGGAACAATTGCAGATGAAACCTCCTCCTTCATTTTCTACGCATATTTGGCGCGTCGGATGACAAGGAGAGTCTGAACAATTAAAAGCTACAAAATAATGTTTATGTACAGGATCACACAACAATCACGTTATTTGTAAAGACAAGTTATGATAAGAGAGAATGGCGGAGAAAATTCAAATTATGTGTGCAATTTGGTCTCCGACAAGGCTTGCAGTTTCCAGGTAGGCTTCCTTGGGGTTTGGTAAATTGATTGCTCAAAAACCTTGAAAGAGTGTAATACATAGGAATCTTGAAACCTGGCCTGCTAGTCGTAATAGACCAATCCCGAAAAGATTGTCTGGGTTCGTGAAAGGGGGCACACGTGTAAGCCAGCTCGCGTGAAGTGCATCGTTTTGTATTCTGTTTGTGTGTGTGTCAGCTCATGGCGGAGGAGAGAGAGACTTTTGCTCGCGGAGCTGAAGCCAAAGGATTTGATGGAGTCCTGCCTGCAGGTAGTCAAAGGACCTTCGGTGCCTTGGGCAGTCCCTGATGGAGTGTGGAGGCCAGCTAGCTCTCGGTTAGGAGACAAACATTCGCGTGGCGATCGACTCTCCGTAAAAATACAAGCTACATAGCGCCGACAAACTGCAACAGCTACGATTTCAACTAACTTCTCGATCTGCTGCTTCACAAAGTTCAACTATTTACAAGTCCTGACTTTTGTAGTCTGAAGCTGGAGTCTCATCGGCCACCTACAGGTAGCGTTTGGAGCTGACTTGGACTCCTTCCTCAAACTCTCTTGAGAGATTCATTGTAATTCTTTTTCCTGGCTCCACATTCTTACAACTGATCTGAGAGTGCCAATTTTTCTAGCAGCCGTGAGCCCCAAGCCGATGTCCTGCATCCAGTTTCATCCCGAGATCGCCGTCCTGGTTTATTATAGCCGCCCCCGCCCAGAACCACCAGTGTCTTGCTGTTGATGTGCAATATATGGGAGTTTGACAACACCGAATGTCGACAACACAGTGTCGTTGTAAATGGTGCAGACCAACCACGATATGTTACTGTTCTAAGTGTGGAGTTCGACTGCATTTCGATCGTGGATCAAATGCCACGGTGTATACGAGGCACGAACGGTAGCAGACGAAAACATTTCTGGGCACTCCTTGACGACTGTTACATATTTTTCTTCTCCAATACTGCTTGTTCATGTTTGCATTGCTCCACAAACACTTTGAAGACAACATAATTCGTTATATCATATTGTATCCTCCCTTCATAAAAAGACAGGGTCATTTTGGTACGCGATTCGGCCAACGTTCCCTTTTAGGAACATATATGTTGGACGCAGTAGAGCGTCCAGCCCCTATATGATGTCCAACCCCTATATATAGTCCATTGGTCCAAAATCCACCATACAGAGTCTAAACTTTGAAATCAACTACACAGAGTCTTTATGTGGACAACACTCCCTGTATAAAGTCCACCCAATTAGGCATCCCCTATCCAAAGTTCAAAATTAGACATAGGAGCTGCTGTGAGCAGTGACTATTAACCATAAAACTGCCTCTCCCTTTAATCCTTTATATCATTCACTTCTTAAGATAAAAAAGGCTTATACTTAGTATTGAGGCTCCACTGCAGCCACTTCATTACATGAAAAACCCTACAAACACCATCCTCGAATCAAGTGGTCTCTTCGCAGACGCTGCAAATTACAATATCTCAATCATTGTGCACGCACAAACACATACACACACATGCACACACCCACACACCGCCAAGAAATTACCAAGAAAAATGACAAGAATCGAAAGAGAATAGGCTATGATGGAAAGCCAAGGATTAATTTATTGTGCGCGCGTGCGCGAGCGCGCACACACACACACACACACACACATGTATACAACACCAAGAAAAGATAAGAGACACAATACACACGCAACTCCAAAAGCCATGCAAACGTCCACCCATTTACACGTAAAGTAAAGAGGGATAACAAATAATTATACGAAACGAATGCATACGTGGACGGGTGCACGAACGTTTACATACGTGTAGTAGTGTAAGAGAGTAACATAGTGCAGTAGTCAGCATAATACTAGCACATTCTGTGAGTGCAATAGCAAGCTTCACCATTGCTCATGGACATGGAAATGTTCAGCAGCACTCAGTTTCGCAAGCTTCTGAAGATCAGCACACCTGCAACAAATAGATAGCACAAGGATACGCTTATTACCGTAATAATGGATGGAAGCAGACAACTACCAAGTTCTCAACTTTTATCCGCGACGTTACGGTACTTCATGGAATACGAGTATTATCTTGAGAAGCAAGCTATCACCCTACTACTACTAGTGGACTGGCACTGCGTTTGTCGATCCCATTGTATTTTACATCATACTACTTGAAGTAGAGGAAGAGTGTCAAGGAAGAGTGTCGTGGAGTTCACATAATTATCACAGGTCAAAATTGATGATAGCTAGACGATTGATGCAAAGTCCTTGCAGTCCTTGAGGACTGATAGTATTGTCATGCAACTATTACGAAGTCGTTGATTACTTTTAGGGCATTCATTCAAGCAACATCAAACAAACGCTATACGCTCCTTGAAAATGGAAAAAAATTCAAGCATAACGACAGAACAGCAGACCAATCGAAACGAGTAAAAGCTTCCTTACCTCAATCATCGTCCTGCCATGTAGTTGGACAGCCTTTTAACACGGTGGTACAGGCAGCTCTTGTCCAGCCAAACAGGGTATCCTTGTGGCGTCGAACGAAAGAGAGTGTCAGTGTATCTGACTCGTCAGATTGGAACTGCGCTGAACTTTTCTCGTTCTCAGCTTTCTGCTTTCATCCCACGCGCTGATGAAACCATTCAAACGTCATACTGTCAGCAACGGCACAGCAGAACTGGCAGCCATGGCCGGTCAAACAGGGGATCCTTGTGGCGTGGAAGGAAAAAGAGTGTCAGTGTACCTGACTCGTCAGATTTGAACTGCGCTGAATTTTCTCGTTCTCCAATTTCTGCTTTCATCCCGCGCACTGAGGAAAACATCTTCAAAGAACCACAAAACGCTTTCTAGATTTGATTTTGAACGTCTCCTTTTCCTCCTTGGTTACCTCGAGACATATTACTGTAAGCAACTGCACAGCAGAACTGGCAGCCATGGCTGCAGTGAAGAAAGGAATGCGCTGCCACGAGGCAAGCAAAACTGAAAAGATGTTTGTTCTTTTTTTTACTACACACAGGATGGTGTGACTGGATAAACTGGACTCCTGGACCGTGAATAGGGGATTTGTAGAAATGTGTACTCCTTATAGGGGATTGCGCGGCTGGATGGAGCTGTTCCAGATTAAAGCTGGCGCACCCCAAGGCAGCTTCCTGGAACCCACCTTATTCTTGATGTATGTCAACGATGCTGAGACCTGTCTTTCCCCATCAACGCGAATGGGTGTGTACGCAGATGACACCACGCTGTACACCACCATACGATCCAGAGATGACTCTGCTGGCAGTATTGCAGACATGCAATCTAGCCTGGATCGATTGAGTAGCTGGGGAGAACAATGGCGAGTTCGCTTTGAGCCGACAAAGTCGCAGCTGCTGCATATTGGCCACCACCGCAACCCCTGGCCACTCCCAGACCTAACGTTCGGAGCCCATGATATTCCCTGCGGGGACGAGCTGAAGCTCCTGGTAGTGACCTTCGACAGCAAACTCACCTTCAGACGCCACCTCCGCAATGTTTCTCTTCGTGCTGTAGCCCGGCTAGGATTTCTGCGTCGAGCATCAAGTTTCCTTGGTCGTGAAGGACGCTTGACAACGTACAGAGGCTTCGTACGCCCTGTACTCCAATACGCACCATTGATATGGATTGGCACAGCCAACTCTCACCTGCAAAGTCTCGACCGAGTACATTGGTCCTGACGCCTTGCTGCAGAGCCTAGCTGCCCGCCGCCAAGTGTACGCTCTCACATACATGTACAAGCTAATGTGCCTTCAAGACCATCCAGACCTCTCTGCGCTTGTGCCGCCTCGCCAGGAAGCTTGCCTCGTCCCGCGGACAAGGTCGCAGCTCCGTGTCCGCCACCAGCATCAGCTACAAGTAGTGCTCCTCCCTACGGCCCCCAACTTTCTCGAGCGTTCGTTCCCATATGGTGTAGTGGATGAATGGAACAGGCTTCCGCAAGACATGTTTCCGGATCCGATGCCCCAGTTGAAACCTCTCCAATCCTTCAAGACGAAGGTCCATCGCCACTTGCGTCAAAAGAATTGGCTCTGGGCTACGGACTCCCTGTGAGGCTATGCCACCCGTCAATGAGCAACTACCCTCGTCCATCATCTCTCTTCATTTATTTTATTTCTCTTCTCATCTCTTTCTTGTTTTATTTTATTTCTTTCTCTCTCTCTCTCTCTCTCTCTCTCTCTTTCTTTCTCACTTGATCTCCCCCCCTCCCTAGCTGCATTCCTATCGATGCCTGGTTGTAGGCTATGATTCCGAGACCTCAGGTCGGATGAGCCTCGCCAACCACATCGGCACATCGCCCCTACTCCCCTTTGTCTTGTTGTCCAGTGTCATTTCAGTTGTCCTCTTCCCCTGATTATTAGTAGGGCTGTGGTTTTTAGTAAAAATCAAAATCAAAATTGAGTGGACTCCTGAACTCTGTATAGTGGATTTTGGACCAATGGACTCTATATAGGACGCTGGACATCATATAGTGCATGGACTTTACACTGAGTCCAACATATACATATTTCCATACCGCATGGACATATTCAGGTCAAACTTATTATTATTACTTAAAGTATTACTTCAAAGTATTATTATTTTGCTTGTTCGCGTTGGCATCAACCTGCATAGAGCAGGTATATAGCCTTCGCTTAAGCTGCCATAAAAAAAGAAAGCTCATCCTAAGCGAGAGGGCTAGAGGAAAAGATAACGATAACGAGATACAGAATACAAAGAAATACAATGAGTTCAACATACGTATACAGTTCAAAACAAAACAGAGCAGAGCCGAAGTTACTAATCGGAGTGACAAATGCGTTGGTTCCGATTGATCCATCAATCGACAAAGGGACTAATCCGTTAATATTGCAAAGTAGAAACCGATTGCAGTTGCAGATCTCCAGGCCAGGGCCAGCATATTGCCGATTCTGGATAGGTCTCTGCAGCATTTGATGTGGTAATTATTATCATAATTAGTGATAAAATTGTTAGAGTATCTAGAGTATCTAGTATCTAGAGTATCTAGTGTAATTGTATCCGATATTATTGTTAGAGTATCTAGTGTAATTGTATAACTTCAGCCACTACACACAGCACACATTAGTTCCTTCCACTTTCGACGATCCTGGGCAAGCTGCCTCAGTGCAACTAGATCCTCGTGTGATGTGAGGGAGTTTGTGGATCTGGAATTTTTCAGGTCGTTGTTGATAGATCGCGGGAGGGTTGTTCTCGGGCGGCCTCGGAACCCTGAGCTTCCTGGTTGAAAGTATGCTGACATAGCCTGCTGGACCGGGGATGAGGTGTCTAGTCGAAGCATGTGGCCAAGCATTCTCCACCTAGCAGACTGGATGATTCTGCTGAGTGGCTTGGAGCCAGTGCGCTTGTACAGTGCTTCATTGCGTATTATACGGGGATATTTGACCCCTATGACTGCTCGTAACTGCTGGCGGTGGAACGAGTCAAGTGCAAACTTATAAACATGCTTAATTGGTTAAATACAAGCCGAAACAAAAGAAAAAACTGCAAGAACTCGCTGAATTCTTGTGACGGCCAAATTAAGGTTAATTTGCTCACTATGTTGTTGTCACTATTAGTATTTTCCTTCCAGTTTTGTGTCGTGCTGAACTTGATAATTTCGACCTTGCCACGAGTGTTGTTATCTCATTATCTTAACGCTATATTTGTATAATCCTTGATGAGAAGGGACCGAAAACGTTCGGATACTTTGAAAAGTGCCTTATTTTGACTGGATGTGTGCTTGCGTGGATACTTGCGACCCAAAACGTAGCTTCGTTTTTAACCCTAGGACGGCCATCACTTTCAGTACTCCTAGAATGGCCAAACGGTGTCATCTGACACCTGCATACATTTCCATGTCTAAGACCTATGATATAGGCTATTATAGTTTTTGTTTTCAGTGCTGGCTATCACTAGTGGCATTTATGACGTACACAACACATTAGGATTCACCCAGACCCTATTTGGCTATATGCAACTAAAGTACAATGTACGCGTAACGGCAATTGCGAAGGATGAACTCAATTACTGGCAATTACTTGCAAAGTAATTTCGTATAATCACATAGTTAAAATAACAAATAACAAGCAATGTGTCAACGTCACTTGGCACATGAGGAACTGATTTTTGGGAATATGTGCTTTGGCATATTCGGATTACTCGACCGTCACGATGAATGACACACGGTAACAAGTTTTGTTTTTAAACAATTCAACACAATTATTGTGGAAAGGTCACAAAAATAAGAGACAAGATCAAAAGGAAAGCTTTACAATAATAATAATTGAACAAACGGCGAGGAGACAACAATTTGATCACCGCAATCAGTAAAACAAGCTGGATCGACATTTGTGTACACTGTATTCATGTATTGTAAAACTGTGGAGACAATGTCCAATAAAACGATGAAAATGGGAAGAAATTGTGTAGAGAAAGAAAGGGATTCAAACAAGTTTTCGTACAACACTCATCAGGAATCTTCGTTGTACTAAAGGACACTGAAAACAAACTTGAACTATTATAGAGTATCTAAGTTAGAGAAATAACACTAAGAACAACAGCAGTGAAATTTACAAGTGTGAATTTTAACAATGAAAGCGAGAGCAATAACGAGTGTGTGTACTAACACTAAAATTTCAACTGAAAAGTGAACAAAGAAGAGAAAGAAAGAAGGAAGGACAAAGTGATAACAACATTAATAACAGCAGTACATTACACCTAGCCAAGCTTGGCCGCACCAAACATGACACTTTACTTGAACAATTTCAACCCAATTATACTATCTTTCTGTACACACAAATTAGGCTTATACAGACGCGGACAGATGGCTTCTAAAACCTTTAACTGTAGTCCATAACCATCTACAGCAACAACAACTAATCCACCATCCAAGCCCATTGAGTTCGGGCTGTACCAGATCCGCGTGACTGGGTTGGACGGCAGGACGCATGTTATCCGAGCGTACGAGAAGCTGGACTTAGATTTGCATATCGAACCAGTCCCAGACGCGTGTGTCCAGCGGTGGCAGAGTCGTGGCGTCACTTTGATGGACCAGGAGACCGCCCAGGTCACGGCCGAGCCGCACTTGTTTAATGAAAATAAACTAAGCAAGGATTAACCTCCCCAGCTACCTTACACTGTCTTCCACGTATCTATTTACTTGGTCCGACTTAGTAAAATGTGCGCTTTACTTCAAAACTCAAGCATTTGTAGAAATGGGCACCAGAACTAAATAATCAATCAAGAGACATAGATAGATAACTACTGTATCGTCTCTTGAGCTGACCTTCTAGTTTTCATCGCTGCCGTTGTCTCTGGGCGCATCTGCAAGTGCAGCACCCTGCAAAACATGGATAGTTTTTTGTCTCCTTAAAGCTACGCTACGCTTCCTTGATTTTTCCAATCAATAGGCCCGATTTTGACGATCGCCTTTGCCTCCTCCTCGTGCAGTGCAACTGCCAGAATGGTAGCTGTAGGGGTATTCAGCCAACATTCCCACTATACCTTCAAATGAGGCGAACAGGTAGACCTCCCTCCACGCACCTCTCTCATCTCATCACCGTGTTTCGCGTACTGACAGTCTGTGTCATACAGTCAGATCGTGCGCGCTCATTGTTACGAATCGATGGGCCACTGCCATAGGCTTGATAAACGATGACGCCTAGCGCCTAGCGCCTCCGAAAACTCCGCACGATCCACGCACAGTATGCGCAGAAAAAAATCTCTCTTTATTCGTTTCAGTTTCCAGCCAGTTTCTTTGCGTGAGAAGCGACTCCAGGGGTGGTTGTTTATTTCGATCAGCTTCTCATCGATCTCTTCTGCGATCTTGATCCGTCTGCTGCCACATCTTGGACGACTGCGAGAGACATCAGTAAACTGGACGACCCGATGCTTGTGCTGCTGCACGAGTTTTTGGATGATGCGTTTGCTGAAATTCTGCCAAGGAAACAGCGAATGCAGCCATTTCAGTACGCCATGAGGGAATCAAGGACGATCGTCAAGGAGTTTTTGGTACTCCGTGACAATTCTCCATCGCACTGGGGTCTTGATATCAGCAACAGGCCTTCTCAGTGTTGCGCGTGGAGCAACAGGAGTCCTCTGACGACAACATGTGAACGCGAAAGGCACGAGTCGACCAGAAGTTCGAGGCACTGTCTCCTTTAAAGTTCGAGCCAATCCTTCCTCAAATCAGAAATCGATGATTGAAGGACACTGTTAGGTAGCTGGGAAGTTTAATTCGTGCTGTGATTATTTGAATTAGTTTGGAAGCCTTCGGACACGAAGCGCACATGTTTAATAAGTCGGACCAAGTATAATTTTGAAGAAGAAATGACTTACTTCAGCATTATTTCATTGCCATTCAATACGCCTTTTACATGCAGAATCCCATATACCTGGCTGGGTGTTGAATGTGCAGGACCCTCTTGTGTTTACTGCTATTACCACTAAGAGATGGGCCCTGAAGGCATTTTCACTCGATAACGTTTAAAAATTAGTTCTATCCAAAGTGAAGAAGCTGCGAAAGCGATTGTTTGCCATTTCTTATGAGGCGAGAATTGGTCCGATGTGAAAGCATAGCACACAATGAACACCTAACTGGACCCCTGCATACCTAGTACAAAACTTCATCCATCTGTACAACTTGCATAGAGACCATTGGTCCAGTTTGTCAAAGATTCTTTACTCATACTCACAACTACATCCAGGTATTGGTGTTAGGTTTCCATTAGCTGTACAGTTCGGTGATCCATCACCTTGTAAACGGAAGCCAGCATTACACGAGTATTGAACAGCACCTCCAAATGTGACAATTCCCTTGTCACGTGTTCCATTAGCAATCACTGGGGCCTTGCAGGTGATGGCTACAAAACATGGTAAAAGGATGAAAAATGATGCACTTCATATGTTTTTCTTGTTAGTATTCAAGACATGACATGTGTCAATATTCCAGTCAAATGTTTTTGACCTCACAGTCTCCTGCCGACCAATGGTTGCTTCCCAGAGAACATTAAACCTTCCCATCGCAAACGGAATGGAAAGCCTCTATCCCGGCTAAGTGCAAAAAAAGGTTTCTGGCAAGTCATCATTGAAATTGAGCGATTTATCAGACTATTTGAAGTGTGCGTTTCGTTTCGGATGTTTCCAAAACAAAATAATGCAAAGAACCTTAGTGCGGTCTAAACTTCCCAGTTACCAAACACTGTCCTACGGTTGTCCACTTGTGATGTCAGAGAAGAAATATCTCACTGCAGCACTATGTGTATACCATTCAATTGGTGTCGTTTGTCAGAACTTCTCAGTTGCTCATACTTACGAATACATCCAGGTATTGACGTCAGCTTTCCATCAGCTGTACAGTTTGGTGACCCATCTCCTTGTAAATTGAAGCCAGTATCACACGAGTATTGAACAGCGCCTCCAAGTTTGACAATCCCCTTGTCACGTGTTCCGTTAACTATCACTGGTGCCTTACAGGTAATGGCTGCAAAAGACCAAGTCACAATAATATCGTACAAAATTATTCATTTTACCTGTCTTCGCTAGTAGAGTATTGGCCTAGACCACTGTATGCGAGGGAGTGGACATTCCATGAAAAACGTCATGGGCCAGTGCCAGGAAAGGGAAATGGACAGTCTGTGCTGTCGAAGAAGTCAGGCAAGGACTCAGCCACTCACAGCTCCGACCTGACACCAATGCCTCCCGACCGCAAGCGGCGGCATGGGGATTCACCTGACTCCGGCAGCCCACTGCTCAAGAAACTGGACGAAGACCTCCAGTGGCAAGAGTCTGCCGAGCAACAACAACTGAATGCAGACAGCCAGCAATCATAAAGCTCCTCCTGATCAATGCAGGCGGGCTGCTGTCCAAATTCGGAGAGTTTCACCACACTCTGTTGCTCTCAGGTGCTGATGTTGCCATAGTGACTGAGACGAAACTAACAGTGGATAAATGCTCTCACAGTGCATCCATTATCCCGGGATACTGTGGCCCGATTCGCCGAGACCGAACAGAACACGGAGGTGGCATTGGAGTCTGGATCAAAGCCGGCATCGCGTACCAGCATCTGGATCAGTACCAGTCTGCTGAATTCGAAACAGCCTGGCTCACAGTTGGCCATTGCAACAGCAAAACTGTCATAGGTGCAGTCTATCGCCCTGGTTCCTGCGCTGACAATGATCTGGCTCTACTCGAGCACTTAGACCAAAACATAGATACCATGCGGCAGCATGGTAAGCACATGATTCTGGCTGGAGATTTTAATGTTCACAGCACGTCCTGGATTGGCAGCCTTCGAACGACAATCGCAGGGGAGTTCTTGGAAGAAATCAGTGCAACACACTGTCTTGTCCAGCACGTGACCCAGCCAACCCGTGGGCCAAACACATTGGATCTCGTCTTGTTCGACTTTCCTGGCACTGTCCACACAGCAGTATCATCTCCCATCGGGCGCTCTGACCACTGTGTAGTATTGTCCAACTTTCAGGAAATCACTCCTGCACTGGAGCGGCCAACAAGCAGGAAATTATGGCTTTATGCCCAAGCAGACTGGGGCAGACTGAGGGCACATTTCCGCAGCTTTGACTGGGCTGCTGTCGTCTGCGATGTCCCCGAACTTGCATGTGAACAACTCACAACTGTAATTCTGGATGGAATGGACACGTTTATACCATCTAAGACCCTGACAGTACGGACGACAGACCCTTGTTGGTGGACACCTGAGTGCAGCACTGTAGTTCAAGCAAAGACTCGTGCATGGAAACGGTGGCGTCAGCACCCCGATGATGGAGATTTGCGAGCTTCATTCATCGATCGGCCCGAACAGCTGCTATTTTGCTGCGCGCCCAATCATCACATGATGCTCGTGTCAAAGCTAAGCTCAGCTCAGGCTCACTTAACGACAAGCAATGGTGGTCCAACATGAAGAGAGCTGCTGGGATGGAACGTGCCTCTGAGATACCTCTGCTGAAGGACACCGATGGCACAGAGTATCCAACTCTCCAAGCCAAGGCCAATTGCCTCGCCAGGTACTACTCCCAGAAGTGTAGCCTTGCAGATGATGGCATCTTTCCAGACGATCTGCCAGAAATGCAGCATTTGGACCGCCATGGTCTTGACCGCATCCATTTCCGGCTTGCTGATGTACGCCGCCGTCTAGCCAAGCTGAATACATCGAAGGCAACAGGACCTGACAATATTCCAGCAAGGGTCCTAGCTCAGTGTTCCAGTGAGCTTGCAGAACCAGTCACCAAACTGTTCTCACTCTGCTTTCGCCACGGTGTTCAACCTACCAAATGGAAGCTGGCCCATGTGCTTCCAGTCTTCAAGAAGAGCCCCCGCTCGGATCCCAAGAATTACCGGCCAGTCTCACTACTATCCATCCTGTCAACAGTAATGGAGAGCATAGTAAACAAGCAGCTCGTGGATTATCTGGAGTGTTTCAATATTCTGCCCGACAGTCAATATGGCTTTCGGCAAGGAAGAGGCACGTGTGACATCCTCACTGCTTTGCGCACTGGGTGGGTCAAGACTGTCAGCGATGGAGGGTACGCTCACATGGTGGCGGTGGACATAGCAGGAGCATTTGATCGGGTATCACACTCTGGACTGATTTTCAAAGCCAAGAACGTTGGCATTGGTGGCTGCCTACTGCATTGGCTGCAGGATTACCTCCTGAACCGCAAACTATCAGTCCTGGTCCACGGCGACTCATCCTCTCCGGCGCCCATAACAGCAGGTGTGCCCCAAGGCAGTATCCTTGGCCCGACACTTTTCCTCTTTGTATGTGTCTGACCTGGATCAGTGCCTGTCTCCCGAGACGCGACTAAGTTCCTTTGCAGACGACACAACCCTCTACAGCCTCATCCGCACGCAGGACAATATGCATGACATGACTGCCGCCTTGCAATCCAGCCTCAAGCGTCTTGAAGAGTGGGGAGAACGCTGGCGCATCAGATTCGAGCCCTCTAAATCGCAACAGCTGCTGATGACTACGAAAGCCACACACCCTGCTGTCCCTGACATCAAGTTTGGAGGTTTCGTTGTTCCGGAAGCCAACACCATCAAGCTTCTTGGAGTGACATTTGACGCCAAGCTGTCATTCCGGGATCATTTGCACTCAATTGCGACACGTGGCTGCCAGAGACTGGGTGTTCTCCGTCGGGCTTGCCGGGTGTTAGATTACCATGGCCGGCTTTGTGCGTACAAGGGATTTGTGCGACCCATCCTCGAGTATGCTCCCCTTGTGTGGATGGGAGCTGCATCCAGCCACCTCGCCCGACTCGACCGTGTACAGAAACGTGCAATGGCCATTATTGGCCCTGGTGCCCTTCTCCAAAGCCTGTGCCACCGCCGGATTGTATCTGGGCTGGTATACCTGTACAAGCTCCAGTGCATCCCAGGACCACCCCAGCTCACCGCCATGATCCCACCTCCAGCCAACCATGTAGAAGCTCGGCGCACCCGGAGTCAACCCCCTCCTGGCCAGCAGCACCATGTGCAGCTGCAGCAAGTCCTGGACAGGAGAGCACCTGCCTATGCTTCTCGCTCCTTCACGTTTTCTGTAGTCTCAGTATGGAACAGCCTGCCAAGCGAAATTGTACTCAGCTTGAAGCGGCTCCACACGTTCAAAGAAGATGTCCATAAGTACCTCACGCACCAACACTGGCTGATGGCTACCGACTTCTACGGATGAACTCCTGACTGTGGCACGGGTCATGTTCCTTGGTTCGGCTCTGCTGATGATATTGGGCTTCATTTACCTTTTATTATTAATTTTTATTTAGTTTGTTTTGTTTGTTATGATTTCTTGGTTTCCCACCCGGTTTAGTTATATTTTAAATTATTATTCCCGTAGCTATGCAGAAGACGTTACTTCAGTAACGTCTGGCGCTAGCCAGGGTCCACACAGCTTTAATTAGGTATTTGTGTGTTTGTGTGTTTGTTTGTTTGTTTGTGTCACGCCTGGCGCTATCCCGTATCTGACGGCAAAAAAATCATAGGGATGTTATAAATTTTTCAATTCTCCTATATTTTGCTGTATGTGGCCAGCTGTGTTTGATGGTACGGTACGGAAGACGGTGTCGTATTACCCTCGATCGTACCTGTCCCGTACCTATCCCTACCGTACCGTACCAACAAAGACGGCTGGCCACAATGCATATTCAAATAGGGCTTTCAAATGCAAGATCATAATGTGAAGCAACTTGGAAGAATTAGTATGTATGCGAAGTGTATCGGGGGATGCATGCAGGGCGCGCGATAGTGCGGGTTCGAAAAAAAAGGAATTTTTTAAAGAATTTATAACATCCCTATGCTTTTTTTTGTCTAGGTCATCAAGGCAAAAAAGCATAGCGTAGGGCCCTGAGCTTCGAAGCTCTCTCGTTTGGTGCAGCTTTAGCGCTATGTGGTTTATTATTTTCCTTTTTCTTAATTTCGTATTTGGCGCTTTTGGGCGTCATTATTTTCTTCTCATTATTTCGCACCAAGTTATTATTTGTGGTATTCTCTAGCTTCTGTTTGTTTTGCAGTTGTTCTTGTGCAACCCCAACCCCCCCCCCACACACACACATTTTTCGATGGCTAGTTGCAACGCTGACGCCGAGACCTCTGGTCGGTTGAGTTGCTCCCAGCACATCAGCACGTCGTCCCTACATCCCCTATGTTTTGTCCTTTTCCTCGTTTCTTTTTGTTCTCCACCTGTTTTCCAGTAGGGCTGTGTCAATAATAAAAAAAAATAAAAAAGAAAAGACTTCAAGATATCGTGATATACCCGATCATCCATATTGACCCCACAGTCTCCTACAAGCTCATGGCAGCAACTCAGACATCACATGTCCAATGAAGCTTCACAAGGCTAACCCACAAGAAACAACCACTCTCCTGCTAAATGCAAAACGTTTCGGACAATTCTTCATTGAATTTGAGTTTTTGGTCAGACTTATTGAAGGGTGTGTTTCGCTTCCGAAGTCTGCAAGACAATTTCAAATAATCTCAGGTCGGTACAAACTTCCCAGCTACTTGAAGTACCTAACAATGTACTCTCATTGTTCTTTTTTGATGTTTAAGCAGAAATAGCTCTCTTCACCATTATTTCCCTGCCATTCAATTATTGGTGAGATGCGTCACAGCTTCTTTGCCTCAGTACTGGTACTGACAAATACATCCAGGTATTGATGTTAGGTTCCCATCAGCTGTACAGTTTGGGGATCCATCACCTTGTAAACGGAAGCCAGCATCACACGAGTATTGAACAGCATCTCCAAATTGGACAATCCCCTTGTCACGTGTTCCGTTAGCAATTATTGAGGCTTTGCAGGTAATGGCTGAACATGATTAAAATATACAAACGTTTCGGATACACCAGTTTTAGCATAGCTACAAAGAGGACTAAGTGTACTGTCAGAATTTCCTATAATATCGAAAATGTATGTGTAAAATGTTATACGATGATCGCAAGGCACACAACGAAAGGGAAAGAGAGAA